AAAAATAAAAGCTCCAAAAAAAAATCTTCACCGAATATGCCTCTAACAGTGTTTCGCAGATTCTCATCATGATTCCTAGAATATACAGAATCTCGTCCGGTTGTGAAAATTAAGATTCCAATTAAGCTCGGGGACTCCTGACCGCATTATCCTGAATCCTGATCTAGCTTTTTATGAGTTTATATGGTCAAAATTATAGGGGCGGCATACTACGAGCTTCCTTCACCGCAAAACACTCCGATTCCTGGTCAATGTAAGACTCGTGATTCCTGGACCCACATTCATAAATGTCTTCGCCGTATTTAAGGGATCCATCCAACCATATTCCAATACCATGAATGACCGTTCCCTCAACTGTGGATCCACCCATCCATATTCCAATACCATGAATGACTGTTCCCTCAACTGTGGAGGTCTGCAGCGCGTGATTTCAGGGAACACGGATTGAAACAGGTTGATGCGGTGTAGCATAACCTCTTCGTTTCACTTTGCAAGTCCAAAATCATTGGACAGAGGAGGATAAGTCTTTTGTTATTTTTAATAAGGAATTTTTTTGACATATCTCTTTATACAAGTCAAAATTATATTTATAATATATTTTTATTATTAATTTATATACAAAAATAAAAATTAATTTTAATTTTATTAGTTATCTAATTGAATCATTTTACATGATATTAGTATTAAAAATAAAATTTATTTTGAAAATTTTTATACAAATGAATGATAAAAATATATAATAAATACATCTTTAAAAACACATATTAAAAAAACTCTTTTAATAATTAATTTTATGTAATTTTATTTATATTGTAAATTGTGTTTCTAAAATATGATTAAAAATTTAAAACTTTAAATTAAAAATCTTAAATTCGAAAGTTATATGAATGCATAGCAATTCATATTAAAAAAAGAACTATTCTTATTATATAACTTGCATATGGTATATCTAAAATATATAATTTAAATTGCATTACCAACTATTAATTGTTTCTTAATCATTAAAACAAATATGGACTATTGTTCAATAAGAGAGAAAACCTCATTTTAGGTATTACTTACTTCCTCATCAAAAGGAATCTAATTCTAACATGGTCAAATTTAAAATGATGAGAGCTGCTTCTTTCACCTCTTTCGCGGAAAAAGTTCCCATGGTACTAGTTCATATATTTGGTTACCCGAAGCTCATACATTCCTCTGCGATTTGAGTTTGTTCACATTTGTTCTCATAGCTTCCCAGAAGCTTGGGAATGCAGGATCCTCAAATTTTGCAGAGTTAGAAGAAGGAGGTTGATTGAGAAATTTAGCAATATTTGTCCATTAATGTTATTATTATTGTTAACAGGATAGGTCACACATATGTTGTGAAGAGATTTCCCTGTTTTGGACGGTTAAATCACTGCGCCAAGAAAAGCGGTTTACATATCTGCGTCTACCCAATGAAGTTGGGTGGAATATAATTAAGAGCCGTAACAGACTATTCTAAAGAATAGATGTTTACCAGAACCTCACCTTCTAGAATTCTCTCATATTTAATTTCGTCCATCTAAGAGCATTTTGTGCCTTGATCACAAAATCACAAATTTACACTAACAACTTATTAATTCGAATGAAAAAAATTCAGTTTTTTTTAAGTAAAATTTTGAATTTGAGTTTTGTTAATAAAAAAATAAATGTTGGGAAAACTTCCTCTCGAATAAGATCCGACGTGACTCAATTTCAGATTAATTGAGATCCAATGTGATTACCGGATATTAAGAGATTAATATTAAAAAAATAAAATCACAAATTTACATAATGTTACTAGGAAAAAAGAGAAAATAGGTTTTATGAATGACAAAACTTATAAATTAATGTCCAACACTCCTTGAATTATATCTTTTGAGTGAACGTAGGGGTTTCTTAATTTAAGTCGTAAGCATGTCGGTGACACGAGTAAATGGGTGGAAGTTTGTTGTTTTCTATTATATAATTTAAAATTATTTAAAAAAAAAAATCCTGAAAAGATCACCTTTTAATCTGTTATGCCATTCCTGGGCCTGCAGTTTGGATGAACATTTGGGCTATACTGCTCTCATTTGAGCCCATTTAGGGGTATTAAAAATTGTACCTGCAAGTTGATAGGGTATTTATCAGGCAAACGGGCTGTATCTTTTGTAGTGTGACAAAAAAGTCTCGAAATTCAAGTTTGAATAAGCCCCTAATGTTTATATATATATATATATATAGAGGATAACCTTCCCCATTTAGCTTAAGATTCAAACTCAAGATCATCAATTTAGAATCTCAATTGCTCTTAAGCACTTAAGGGTTGAGACACACCTTAAGGCTCTCACGTAGTTATTTGTGTTGTGACATTTTAGCTTTTAAAAAAAGAAAAACTATTTCCATCAATTTTAATGAAAAAATAACTAAAAATTTAGTTGAGTTCAAGGTGAAAAACCATTATTTTTATTTTAAAGTCAATAAGTATCGATTCGACTAAATTTTTGTTAGTATTAGTCATAATAACTAGTAATGAAAGTTGTCGGTCAAATAAAAGAAACATGAGATTTATTCTCCCTATCCAAAATAATTATCATTTTTTTATTTTAAAATTATTTCAAATTATTATTTTTATTTTTTAGTAGACTATTTTTTTGCTATTTTAACCTTATTATTATTTGTTTGCTTTAATTTTCATCTTATCACAAAAAATCTCTCTTTTTGTTTTATCTCTTTATATTATATTTCTTTTTCAAGAATAATATAAAGAAATATATAAATTACCTTAAAATCCTTAAATTAACAAGTTCCTTTTTTTTTTTTTTTATAATCCTAAATTTCACCAAATTGCAAAATATAAATTATAAAATGGGAGATCACCTCAACTTCAAGTGAGCTCCTTGTTTATGTTATACAGTAACACTTTCTTATTTTCTTTTTGTAAGTTAAATTTAACTCATCCACTACACATGTTTGTGGTTATAATCATCTGTTAAACTATTAAGACTACACAATATTGTTCAAATAATACTCATTTGGCTTAATTAGACTATTAAGAACATTTAATAACTGATAGAAAAATTTATATTCATTATTTGATAAATTAAAATCAATCTATAAACTAATATTTTCATATATTACAATTAGCTATTTAAGAAAAAAATTATAAATATTAATTAGATTAGACACCGTTGTGCAAGGATGGAGTTAGAAAATAATCTTAGGGGGGCGAAGTACTATTTGAAATGTGTATACTAAAAATGAATTTTTTGACTTGTAATTTATAAATAAGATTAAGACTTAAATATACAAAAATTAAAATTTTAAAGACTTTAAATGTAAAAAAACTTGTTAAAATTTATATGTATTTAAATTTCAATATGAAACACAACTTTTATCACAAAATATTACTTAATATGATCTAGATAGGAAAATTAAATGTTCTAAAAATTTGATAATACCAATTTCAAGTCAATTTTATTTTATTACTTGATACAAATAATCATTAACTATACATATATTGCAATGACAAGCATGTCAAATAAATAAAAATATTTTTGTTAAATTTATTTTATTTTTCAAGTAGTTAATAATTTATTATAAAATTTATAAAAGAATAAAAGTTAGAACACCATTTTATTTTTTAAAAAAAGGGTTTATTTTATTTTTTTAAAAGTATAGGATCTATTTAATTTTTTTACAAAAGTCTAAGGGGTGAGTGTCCTGTGCACTCCTGACTCCGTCCTTGCTGGTGTGGTTATCACTACCTACCAACTTGTTGTGGCCACCTATATTTTGATTTTTTTTATAAATGATCAATTATAATATTTAAAAATATTAATAATTAAATTGATTTAAGTATATTAAATAATAAATATCAATTATTTTATTAATATAAACTATTTTAATAGCAAACAAAACAAAATTAGTACTGTAACCAACACTATTTATAAAATTTGGTGTCCCTTGTATAAAAAAAAAAAAAAAAATTGGTGTCCTTGACATTTCAACAAGTGGCCATAACCACGCCCATTAAACACAATATGAATATGTGACTTTGACAAAGAATTGAGTCGCCATAGCTACACGTCTACAGCCCACACCACACATATTCCTTTCTTGCCATGCCATTTCCTCTTCTATTCTTAATTTCTTCCTCTCTCTTTTGGGCAAAAGAATTTCCTATCAAAATTCTCGTCCAACACCCCATGTGGGATTCTGCAGTTAAATATGGCAACTAATTGATTATTATTTTTTCTTGTTTTGGTTTGTATTAAAAAAATTTTTTAAAATTTTTATTGGATGTTTTTTGGTGGGGTAGATAGAAGGTAACTCCTGTAAAACGAAGTTTCCGAGAAACTGCACATTGCATGCCGTCTTCCTATCCTCATATTGTTTTCTCGGGCAATATTCTGGACTGGGTTTCGATTCACGTTTGAATTTTTCAACAAAGAGTGGCAGAGGGCCTTGGGTATTCGTCAATCATTTGGAATTTTCTCCGCTGAGTTTTTCACCTGGGATTTTCTTTTCGTTGAAGATTTGAGGTGGGATTTGCTGATTCTCAACTGGGTTTTCTGGGATTGACGGCCGCATCCTGGTTTGCAAGATTTTCATTGAGGTAACCATTCTTCTTCCTAAAGATTGTTTCTTTTTTTATGTGTAGTTGGAAACGTGTCTCCTTTGTGATTAGAGGGATGTCTTGAGGTTTTATTGATACTGAAATATTTGAAATTTGCTTTGGATTGATGAATGTTGAATTTGGAATATGGTTTCTTGTAGGTGAAAATACTTGTGTTGCCAAGACCAGAGAGAATCTTTTGATTTGGGGTGGTTTGTTTTGAATCTGAAGAGTTGCTTCTGCCTTGTTTTGAAGTCATTCGTTCTCATTCAATTTGAGATATCCTTGTTCATGTATGTTGTAGGATTCAGATTGAATAAAGGGTTTTGAGTTTGAAATTTCTGGGTGTACTAGCATTGAATGATCTGAAACTCTATTTCCATTGAATGGAGTAGATGGTTTTGGAGTTTCTTAGTTGGAAATTTGATTCAATTGACCCCATTAATTGTAAGAGTTGAATGAAGTTATGGAGCTTTCTGAGGAAGAACGTATTGGAGATGGAGAGATGGAGGACTTGGAAAGATCACCTGGTTTCGTAACTCCTATGGAAACCCCTCACTTGAGGACACGTTTTCCAGGCATGGTGCGGCAAAAAGCATATATATTTGATGGGTCGGGGAAATATTATCATAAGGAGTGGGATCTTCTTGAAGGCAGAGGCAATGAGTTTTGTTGGTACCATGTAGAACTTCCAAAGGGAGATCAGAAACTCTCTCAATATGCACAATACCTTATAGATGTTCTTTGCCCACCTTTAAAGCTTCAAGACATTCTTTCACTGGTTAGTAATGGACCATTTTGTGGACATGTTGATGGAGCGCTTGTCTTTAGAGTTAATTCCGCTGGCCCTGCCTCTAGCAATTTTACTTTTAGACTTGCTGCTAGAGTTACTGAGAATTCAGTAATTACTGTGTCTTTGGGTCGAGTTCCCAGGCTAGGTTTCTCACCAGTTGGTGAATCTCTTCTCTCAGAAATTCCAAGTGTGGAGAGTCCCTCTTATTTTGGTGGTGACAGAAAGGAAGGCAGTGGGATTGTTATTAGGGAGCATGTCCTAGAGTTCTTATTGACTATGAATCACTCTGAGGAGGCTGACAACCCTGTTCCACATACTGTCTCAAATCTTGTTGTTCACATAATTGACTCACATGTGGATCAGCTACAAGATGTTGTGACTAATCTTGAGATGGAGCTGGATTCTGTGGAGCTTCAATTGGATAAAGGTATATTTCATCCTTCTCAGTTTTCTCTCCCAACAAAATTTTTTCTTCAGTGTATTTTATATCTGCCGATCAGATTACTTCTAAGAGGAGTAAGGTCCTAGTTTACATTCATTTTTCTGGTTATGCAAATGGTGCCATAAATTTTGGTTCTTGACTTTCTCTTCTTGTTTGAAATTCACTTTTGTATTTCTTGCATAACATTTCTGTCACATCTCACTTGTTCTATTTTCTCATTCATCATTCTAAAGACAGTGCACAATGAATTTCACATGTTATAGTCAAAAACTTCAGATGTAGTCTTTGTAACTAAATTTCTACCAATATAAATATATTCATATATTGGAAGTTTCACTATATATAACCATGGAGCTGCAAAAATTAGGACAAATTCCTGTATTACTGCATAACAACACTAACAACTGAGTTGGCACATGCATGGTGGTAGAAACAAAAGATTGGTCAGTGCTGATTACATTATTATTATCTTAGATGCTGCTTTTTTTTCCTTTAATTTTTTTAATATAGCCATTTAATTAACTTTTTCAAGTTCCTCAGTTCTCTCCAACTTTTTTTGCATTCTTGGCTTGACCATGAAGTTGCTTTTTAAAAATGCAATGTATGTTTTATGCTGTTGACAATGTTGTAATGTGTTCTTATACCAAGGATGAAGTCAGATGATTATTGTGATTATTCATAATTCTCAGCTGGATCTACTTTAAAGAAACAAATGCTAGATGACAGGAGATTTCCCAAAATGCATCTTAATTTGCAACGTCTCCTTCAGGTAATTTCTTAGCCCTACTTGTTTCCCTTGCCAGGCATGGCTAAAATATAACTCTGAAATTGAAATTACTTGTATAAACCTCCTGTGCTTGTGGTTTTCCTAACTCAGGTGATTGCACATGGAGAGGCAGTATTTCCAAGAGTCAAGGAAAAGTGTTCTGCAAAGCATTGGTTTGCCAGTGAGGATGTTAGTGCACTTGAAGAGTTGATAGGACGTCTCCGGAGACTAAAGGAGAATGTAGGATTTTTAGCAAATCGTGTCACTGCAATACAGGCTGGACTGGATAGTTGGCAAGCTGAGCAAATTAACAGAAAGCTCTATTATCTCTCTTTCCTGTCAATAATATTTCTTCCCTTATCTGTTGTCACTGGAGGTAAAACGTCCTCTTTAATTTAAGCTTTGCTGCTTACAGAAATTCATTGAAGATCTTTTGAAAGCAGTAGTTGACTATACTTTTCCGTTTGCATATCAGTGTTTGGCATGAATGTGGGTGGAGTCCCATGGACAGGACAAAACGACCCTAAGATACAAGATGGTTTCCGCAACGTGTTATTTCTTTGTCTTGCAATGTTGCTTCTGGTGCTGCTGTGCTTCCTTTTCCCAGCTCTTTATAATCGTTTTGTTGCTTGGCAGAGGAACAGATCTATACAAAGAAGCTGGTCTCTGAACAGGAGATCATTCCTCAGGAGAACCATTAATGGTCCAGAAAGAGGGGGTTACCTCAGGATTTAGGTTGTACAAGAAAGTTATTTCATTATTTGTGTCTCATGGTATGCCTAAAACGCCACCTCACTTCATTACACATTTCAGACCTGGTTTTAGGTTCTTTAAATCAGCCATATTTCTCAAATTTTTTGAGTAAACTTCTTTGCAGCTTCATGAGAATGACATGATGTCTCGTCTACCCATTTTTTCACCAATTTGCAGCATTTAGTGCTTCTTTTAAATTTTTTTTACTGGTGAAATACTGTACAGTTGGTTCTGTAAAGTTCATCCATCCCAACACATACGTTTTAAATTTTTCTGTATTTTGACTTCTTCTGTATATCTCAAATATTTCTCTTGAAATGACTGGATTGATTGTTTCCTGAAGTCTTAATTTTAGCATTACTGGGATTCTTTTTTTTTTGGGGGGCCGAAGCATTACTGGGAATTTGGAAGCTAGATTTTTTGTTTCCTGAAAGTAATGATTATGTTTGCACTTTGCAAGGTATATAAAATTCAAAAAGTCTTATGTGATGCCTGCATGCGAAGAGTGCATGTGCATTCGATCACACATAGTACTGCTCCTCTAAACAAGCTATGATATTTTGTTTTTTTTTTTTTTTTCAGAAAAAAAAGAGCCATTGAATATCTATATATATATTTTTGGTGGAATTGAATATTTTTAATTAAATGTTAATCTGACTTCTTGAAATTTTTAATTTTAATTATTTTTTGTCCTTAAATTATGAAGAATATGTTTCTCTAATTATATATATTTTTTTTGGTGGAATTGAATATTTTTAATTAAATGTTAATCTGACTTCTTTGAATTTTTAATTTTAATTATTTTTTGTCCTTAAATTATGAAGAATATGTTTCTCTAATTACAATTGAAAATATCTAATCTATTCAATTAGAGTTAATAATCGATAATTGTTTATAAAACTGTAAAACAAACACTCATTTAATCTTTTAAATTTATCTATATATACATGTTTTTAATTCACAAACTTATAAGTTCAAAGATGAAAAATATGCATATATTATAAATTTAAGAATTAAAAATATGCATATGCAAATAGAGTTAACAAATTAAGGTTTCATTTGATAATTTGATAATACTTCTCAGGGTTTTAGCTTTTATTTTACAATTCTAAAAAAGGATTGTAAAAAATAAGATATCTTGTCAATTAAAATGCCAAA